TTCGAACTATTGCTGCAATGGTAAGAGCGAGGTAGGCCTACTTGGAGACTCATAATTGCGCGATGAGTCGACCTTGTATAGGCTTGGGCATTTTCCGTTCATAGCGAATCAGTGATTGAAAGCAAAAACTGTTCATGCATATCACGGTAGTTTTGAGTCTAGCATAGCTGCAACGGCTTTAAACGCTTTAGAAAACGCAAATTGCTTTTATATAGTTTAATCTACTGTCCAAACAATCTTTAAATGGTCCTCTCATATCCACACCCTACTGCGGATCGTCACCAAAATTTGATCATTTATTCTTTTGACCATGAAAAACTATTCTGCCAAGGTTAATTTCTATCAATTTATAACTGGGACGTAAACAATTTAAATAACCCTCAAATGTATACCCTAACATGGATCGTCCCCAACATATAACAATATCTTCCTTGTAACTTAGTTAAACACTTCCCAAAGTTTCATTCGGATCAGTTGACCTTTTTTTGAAATATCTGGTCTGGAACGTTTTCCATTGAATGGTTCCCATATCAACACCCTACTCCGGATAGTCACAAAAAAATAATCATTTCTTTACTAGACCTTGACAAACTACCTAGAAAGTTTCATTTAGACCCACCGAAAACTTTTTTTTATGATATTTAGGTTTTGGACCTAAAAAATTTAAATGACCCACACATTTACTCCCTCAACTCGATCGTCCCAAATACAACAATTTTTCCCTTGTAACTTAGTTAAACTTTTCCGAAAGTTTCATTCAGATCAGTTGATCCGTTTTTGAAATATCTGGTCTGGGACGTTTTCCTTTGAATGGTTCTCATATTCACACCGTACTCTGGATTGTCACAACAATTTAATAATTTCTTTACTAGACCTGGAAAAACTACTACAGAAAGATGAATTTATACCCATTGATTTCTTAAAATATATTTTTGGTTTGGGACTTTAGAAATTCAAATGACCCTCGAATTTACATCCTAAACTGGATTGTCCCCAACACCTAATATTTTCTTCTTTGTAATTTGGTTAAACCTTCCCGAATGCTTTCATTCAGATCTGTTGATCCATTTTCAAAATATCTGGTCTGGGACGTTTTCATTTTAATGGTTGTCAGATCCACACCCTACTCTGGATTGTCACAAAAATTATCATTTCTTTACTAGACTTTGACAGACTGTTATACAAAGTTTCAATCATCATTGAATTAATAAGAGATATTTAGGTCTTGGACATCAACAATTTAAATGAACCTCAAATTTACACCCTTAACTGGATCGTCTCCAACAAAAAACAATTTCTTCCTTGTAACTTTTTGTTAAAATTTCCAGATAGATTCATTCAGGTCAATTGACCCGTTGTTGAAATATCTGGTATAGACTGTTTGACTTTAATTGGTCCTCTTTTGGACAGCCCATCTTGAATTGACACTAAATATTAGGAGGCACATCCTTGATATTTGGGAAGTGACCAAAGTGACGGCCAGAAAAACCCAGTGCAAAAAGATAGGGAAAAGTATGCCAAAAAATAAAAAGTAAAAAAAAAAAGAAAAAGAAAGAAAAGAGAAATCAACAACAACAATGGCTTTTCATCAGACCGATTATGTTTTTCACGTCATCGTGGGCTTCCTGGGTTCTGATTGGCTAAAAGAAATCTATATTGCTTATGTGTACAGCAAAACAAAACAAAATTCGCTTACCGCTTATGCTCTTCTGTTTCGTGTTCCCCTTAAAAATCTCAAAAGGATCCCGAGAACGGATCTCTTTGTGGCAGCACAGCCTGTTGCTACCCGGTTTCTCGGGTATATGAATACCAAATGCAAATCACTTACTTACTTATCCTCTTTATCCCCAATGGGACATAATGCCGCAACGAGATCTTTCCACCTTAACCGATCTTTTTCTATGTGTTGAGCACTGTTCCATGTCAGACCAATTTGTTTGTTTGTCAATATGTACACCTCCACGTTGTTCTTGGATGGCCTACTTTGCACTTTCCTGTTGGTGTCTATCTCAGAGCAACTTTCGGAATTCTTTCATTGGGCATTCTCATAACATGACCAAGCTATCTGAGTCTGCGGTGCTTAATTTCAATGCTCACACAACTACTTTTTGTCTTCTTTTATAATTCATTGATATTTTATCCGGCCAGTATATTTTGCAGATCTTCCTAGGCATTTATTGTGAAAGGAATCTAGGCGTCTTGTATCATATTTTGTTACTCGTCAGCATTCAGATCCATATAATAAAACAGATTTTACGATCTGGAGATCGTGGGTTCGAGTCCCACCCGAGAACGTGCGATTTTTTTCGCAGTTGTTTTCAAATGTACTGAGTATTCGGTACACTTCCACGTCAGGTAAGGCAAAGATTACACCTGTATACATGTTTCTCCTGACGCAAATCCAGTTATTGTCTATTATTCCATCACGACAATAACAATTACTATCAACACTGCAGTACCCGCTGCTTATTTGGACTCGAATTCAACTCTGGCCATCAGGCGCAAGCTCGGTGGTCTAGAGGTATGATGCCAGGCTAGTGATCTGGAGATCGTGGGTTCGAGTCCCACCCGAGAACAACTTGCGATTTTTTTTTGCAGTTGTTTTCAAATGTACTGAGTATTCGGTACATTTCCACGTCAGGTAGGGCAAAAATAACACCTATACAGATTTAACATTGCTGTTATAAAGTCGAATTTTTGGCTTCAGACAGTAGTTGTTAGACTACCAGACTGAACGAAGTTAGACAAAGGCGTATTGTGCTTTTCCAATTCGACATTTGATATCATGTTGTGATACATTAATTTTATTGATGATACTACCAAGGTAAGTAAAGCTATCAACGGATTCCAGTTCCACATCATTAAGTTATTTTAGGATTTTCAGTTGTGTTGAAAGCCGTATTTTTCGTCTTATTCGAGTTTATTTTCAAACCGACTTGCACAGAAAAGTGTTCTAATCTACTTGTCTTTACTTGGAGACTGACTATGTTCGAAGAGATGATGTCAATGTCGTCAGCAAAGATCTTCGTCTGCGTTTGTCAGAAGTTTGTTTCTTAACCCAGACTACAGTCAGAAGGAAAAGAAAAGCAGGGAGAATACATCCCTGTCTGACACCAGAGTTGACTTCAAAGTTTATTCCGATGTACACTATCAAATGCCTTTTTAAGGTCAATAAAATTCACAAATAGAGGGAGGGGCATTCCATTCACCAGACTGCTCAATTATGTTGAGTAAAGCAAAAAAAAAAAAAAAAATACAGCCTCTTCCTTTTCTAAATACGGCTAGTTCCTCTCTTAGTAGCATCTCGTTTTTAATAGCTTCGTACATTCTACAGAATGTATTCTGCATAATACCTTACTTGGAAGGAACAAAACGGTGATTCCTCTCCAGTTATCAAATTTTTCAAGATTTCCTTTCTTTGGTACTTTGACGATTAGTTCTTTAGACCAGTCATCGGGCATATTGCCGCCAGACCAAATCTTCTCAAATAGGTTGAACATGATTCTTGAAGACAAATCTATATCCACTTTGATCATTTCAGCATGAATTGAATAATCTCCACAAGCCTTCCCACTTTTCATAGATTTGATAGCAGATTTTATTTCTTCAATAGCTGGCGGGTTGATGTTAATATTTAAAACATTTTCCGCAGAGATATGGTTAGCACAGTTCTTAGGGTGTGCGCGATGTTCGGCCAATTTACCAGCAAGTTTTCTTTCTTCTGTGATTGGAAATCCTTGTTCATCCCACATTGTACTTATTGCATAGTTGTTTCGTGATTTTGTATATTTCATTCATATTCCTCATAGCTGCTGCTTCATCCGCCTTCTAGCACATTTCTTTACATTTTTATCCTTCGATTTGTATATTAAGTTGTGCTTTTCTTGCAAATGTTGCAAATACATTCAAATTATGGTTCTTGATTCATCGGTCAGCGCTCGGCGGAATTCAGTGGCTAAATCTTGCATTATGCATAAGTGATAAACCAAACTAGATCACAATTGGTGACGTCATACACAAAATAACAATAGATCTCTATTATAAAATTTACAAATAATTTTTGATTATTATTTAATTCCGATAGGTCATGGGATCACCCTTGACCTAACATTTAATCGCAAATAGAGATATGGATATATTTAATACCTTACCTTTAAATTAAATATATATCTCTTAGTTTTACCTAAGCCCCCTCTAACAGAGATATCTCTATTTAAAAAATGTATCTCTGTTTTGTTTATGGTTTCTGTAGATGGCCAAAAATGGCACTTTCAAATTTAAATTTGAATGAAATTTTTATTTCTCTCCATGTGCTACCGGTACCAGGGCCGACTGTGCTCTCTACCTCTATATTTGTTAACTGCTTATGAGTGGACATTCTCAGTAATCCCGAAAGCAAGATTTTAAATGGTTATTAATTTGTTTAATTTGGTTAGTAATTATTTTAAAACATGGGTAAATTTTGCGGCCGAAACGGGGCGCGATTTTTTTTCCGTACGAAACATTTGCATGAAACTTCACTCGGGCCATCTCGGATTGACTCGAGTGAGTACGATACGAGGAACAAGAGCAGACACTTCGCAATGTCGTGACGCTCGAGTT